GAAAGGATAAAGTCAGGACTACTTATGACAGCAGCCTTTCCCAAGTTATACGCTTAAGTTTATAAAAATGATTCTAAAAAAGATTCTGTAAAATCTACGAAGGAAGATGCTGGAAATTAATAGCCCTTTCCTCCCCCACCAAAAAAGTGATATAAAATAAACTTAAAGAAACTTACCACACAATTTCTTCATCATAGATAAACTAGAAGACAAAAGAAACAACGGGAGACCCATTTATTCCAAGTAAAGAACAATGCAGACCCTGAAACACTCACAGTGGCCTTGGGCACATTTTACAGGAAGCAGGTCTCCTGTGTTTCTTGCCAAGCAGGTGCTTATGCCGCTGAGCTATACCCCCAGTACCCCTATGTGTTTCTCAGTGACCATGCTCAGCCGGCAGCCAGGCTAGCTGTGTGCTGTGACCTGTGGCCCTGGCCTGATGGGGTCTTCCCAAGAGATGTGGCCTGGGCTTTGTTACTGTCTGTGCTGCCTCTGGGGGCTAAGTGGGAAGGAATCTCCCCTCCTCATGGGGACAGAGTTGCTAAACTCAAGAAATCTCAGACTGAAAGGCATCTATGTGTTTATTTCAGTACATATGGGATGTGTGTGTGGTGCATATGTGTGTGGTAACTCTTCAGAATTCCAAAGCAAAAGATCCAGCTTGTAGAACAGAAGAGGAGTCACAGTGGGGACAGTGGCACCACTCACTGTGAGCGTTAAGTGGAGGTGTCAACTTGCCTAGCCCAGATGGCTAGTACGGATTATTCCTGGACATGGCTATGAGGGTGCTTCTGGAAGAGACTGACAATTGGATCAGACCAAGTAAGGAAGGCCTGTCCTCACCCAACCACCTCATCAGCTGAGGGGCAGAGAGACCAAGAAGGCAGAAGAAAAGTGATTCTGTACTTGTGGTTTGGCCCTGTCTCCTCTGCCTCTGTCTCTGTCTCTTCCTCTTCCTATCTAGGAGCCAGAGAACCTTCTTGCTCCTGCTGTTGGACTTGAGAATTCCAGAGACCTTGGACTTTGGACTCCAGGACATGCACCTGTATACCCCTGAGTTCTCACACCTTTGGCCTAGCCCGTGCTACAGATCTTCCCCAGGTCTCTAGCAGGCAGAGAGCATTGTGGAACTTCTTACCCTAAAATCACCAGAGTCAATACCAAACAAGTCTCACTGCTGGTCCATACCCCTCACATCCATCCATCCATCCATCCATCCATCCATCCCACTATCCATCCATCCATCCATCCATCCATCCATCCATCCATCCATCCATCCCACCATCCATCCATCCATCCATCCATCCATCCATCCATCCCACCATCCATCCATCCATCCATCCATCCATCCATCCATCCATCCATTTCTTGCTTATTAGTTTTGTTTCTCTGGGGAACCAACTAATTAATACATTCAATGACTCCTACGCAGTATCTAGCACAAGGCACAGATACATTCTCTTTCTTCGGTTGGGGGAGGACTCCATGATGATCATCCCAGCATCCTCCAGTGTGGGCAGGAAGATTGGGGGGAACCTGTTCCCATCCGTCTGATCTTGGACACACATGGGTCCCGACATATGCAGCCAGGAGAGGCAGGGAATGTTTTCTGGACTTAGGGGCCCACTGGGTCCCTCTCCTGCCTGTCATAGTGGGCAGGACAGCCAGAAGCTGGTTCAGGAAGTCATTTCTGAGAAAGTCACCAAGTCAGGCATCTTCGACAGCCTTCCGAAGGCAAGGCTCTGAGGAAGGACCACGCAACACAGCAGATGCCTAGACCATCTCTGCAGAAGCGAGGGAACATTTACAGGGATAGTTTTAGCACTTTTACCCCAAGGGGGGCCACTGGCACTGAGTGGAAGTGAGGAACAGATGTGAAGTGGTGTGAGGCACATGAGACAGTTCTCATGCGCAAACTTTCTCCACATTTGGCACGTCTTAAATGTCCTGATAAATATTCAGTTAACTGAAAAACAATGACCTGAACCTTGAACTTGACTCTAACTTACAAATCAAAGTATTTTTACAGAGTTTTAGAGAATGCTGAATTTGCTAGTAAAGTTACTGTCCTGTAAAGGATGAGTGTATTTCGGTCTGTTCAGATTTTTAGCAGGAGCCACTCACTATTTTGGAAACATGCCATGCTGCCAGCACCACCTAGGGCTTCGGCCTAACCCGATGGACATCTGTCTGCATTTGCAAATGAATTCAGAGATTGTGGGGCAGCAGTTACTTCAGTGGATCCTCTACCGCCTTAATGCTGAGACATTTATGACTGAGAGATTATTTTACTATACATGAAGTTTATTTCTTCCTCATGGTACAGTTGGGATACTACATCAGCTTTTTTTGGTTTGTTTGTTTATGTATTTGGTACAGGATCTCACTATGTAGCTCAGACTCATAGTGATCCTCCTGTTCTCAGCCTCCCCAGTTCTGGGATTACAGGCGTGGCCATCATGCTTGGCTACACTGACTTTTTTTGAAGTTGTCTTTAGTAGACTATTTCACCCAGCACTTTAATTTTGGGGATGTGGTAGGCAGCTCTAAGATGGCTCACTGACTCCACTGGCCGGCACTCATGCCTCCTGATTGTGGGCCAGACCAGTGACTTCTTCTAATAAAGAGAAGGGGGCTCACTTGTGATGTGAGGAATAAAAAGACTGTGGCTTCCATCTTGGGGTCTTGTCACTCTCAATCCGAGGGACAGCCCCCTGCGAGCCACACTTTGGGACCACGGGCAGGGCCCGAGGCCAGCCAGTAGCCATGTTTGGCCCTGAGCTCCTGCTATGTGGGTTGACACCCCAACTGCACGGACCCTGCTGAGGCACTCCCAGATTTCTACCCCAGTGTTGATAATCTTAAACTGCCAAGTTCAGGGGAAATTCATTACCCGGCAGTAGCTAACAAATACATGGGCCTCACTGTCATATAAATTGGCTGCACATCTCGTGAGGTTGAAAAATGGTATTTCTTACTCTAAAGTCTACATATGCCCTCATGCCAACACTTCAAAGCTCTTTCGGGTCAAGAATATTCCCCTATGGATGATATGTTCCTTGGCAGTATGTCTCACTGTCATGTGCCATGATGTCACCCCCCACACTAAAGGATCCCTGGGACCACTGATTGGGTTCCTCGGCCTTTTCTCCCTTTCTGGCTCCAGCCTGGCTTCCGGCTGCCCTCTCTACTGACTCCCAGCTGTCCTTCCGCTCTTGCTCTTTGGTGGCAGAGAACCCAGAGAGCTCAACTGAGATCTTGGTCTGGCAAAAGAGCAAATGGCCTACAGGGGATGAGGAGGGACTCAGAGGAGCACAGTCACTGAGGTCCCCACAAGGACCATACGGCATGTGCTTTGCCCTTTCCAAGACCTTTGTGCCAGGAAGCTGGTTCCTGGATTCGTCTGATAGCCAAAATGATGTCAGGAGTGGGAAGGGGAGGCAAAGTGGAGGCAGAGGGGTCTGTGGGCTGGCCACTGTGACCAGAGGGCAGAGCCAGCACATGCCATTGTTGACTATTGGCAACGGAGTTAGAGACCGAGACAAGCAAGGGTCTTGTGCCTTTGTAGGGTGCTGGGCAACCTGATGCCTGAGGCCAGGGGGTGACTCACTGCGATAAGCACGATGACAGAGAGTGTGTAGTACACGGAGTCTCGGCACACGGCCCACCATGTCAGACGGACCACCTGCAAGCAGAGGTGGCAGCTGCTATAGGCTGGTGGCCGGAAGTGTGCAGTAACCACCCAGACCCCTGCCAGTGCAAGAACAAGGCCCATGGGCTCTCTCAGGTCACCCAGGAACCTTCATGGTATTTGTGGAAGAGGATGGAACCTAATAATGTTCTCAAGCAGGAGTACAATGGCCTTAGTCCTCTGAGGTGATGACTGAGTGCACTTTCAGCAGAAGCTAGCCAAGGCGGAGATAGGAGGTGCTGCTGGTCCCTTTCACAGTCCCCTTTGGAGCGATCAACCACCCACTGAGCCAGGCAGGGCTAAGTGTGAGCCTGTCTGCCTCTGCTGGACTGTGACGCTACGGAAAAGGCACCACCAACAAGCCAGCTTCATGCCTGCAGGAGGCCGAAGCTGGTCTCGCTAGGGGACAAGGTCACAGCAGCACTTGTGTGTGATCACCACCAGTGAGCCTGGGGACTGGCCAAGGCACGATACTACTCATGCCCGTCAGGCCTCCAGAGTATGCAGGGGAAGGGACATGGATGACACTCGCCCCAGGAGCAGACCAGCTCAGAGGGGGAAGCCAGTGCCTTGGAGTGGCCAGGGTGGCCTTGGCTTGGTGTCCCACTGCCACCCTTCCAGAGAAGCTTGTCTCACACAGAGCAAGCACTGCCGCTCTGGGCTGCCAGGCCCTCCGCCCACCTGGCCAGCGAAGAGCCCACACACTCCGATGATGCAGAGGATGTTAAACACCGCGGAGCCCACGATGGTTCCCACCCCGACATCTCCGTGGGTGATGAAGACACCTAGAAGGGGAGAGACAGGAGGCTGGTGTGGTGGCACACACCTGTAATCCTGGCACTCTGGGAGGCTGAGACAGGAGGATTGCAAATTCTATCCAAGCTGGGGCAACTTAGCAGCTTAGCAAGACCTTGTCTCAAAACAGAAAAAAATAGAAAAAGGGCTGGGGATGCAGCTTAGCGTGGAGGCCCAGGCTTCAGCCCCCAGCACAGTCATAAAGACAATAAAACAGAAAGAAGGAAGGCAGAGACATACATCCTAGGCTCTTGGCTACATGGGCTGGCCCACCTGTGCCTCACTTTCCCCACACGGAGCGAAGTAGGTCCTTAGTGTCAAACACAGCACTAGGAATGTAAAGTGCAAAACCAGCCAGGAGGGACCGCCCAGGCAGCAGCTCCCCAATGCTTCCAGACTTTGCACAGCTCTTTACAGGTGCAATGGCATAAAATTCACCTACTTTATGAATATAATCTAGTGCCTTAGGCAGTGCATGGAACTGTGTCCCTCAGACCGGGGTCTAATTTGGGAGCATCCCCATCATCCCCAAAGGAATCTCACGCCCATGAGCACCTGCACCCTGAGGAACCACCGAGCCACTTTCTGTCGCTCTGGCTTCCTGGGTCTACAGACAAGGAGCCCAGGCTCTGAGCTAACAAACGTCCCGCCGTTGTGGGCACTGAGCCTGCATCTTACCGATGATAGAGGCAAACAGCTCCGGAGTCGAGCTTCCCGCAGCCATGAATGTGGCTCCAGCCACATCTTCACTGAGATGAAGTCTCTGAAACAGAAGGAAACCTGGGCCCTGAGAGTGTGCCATGGGGCAGTGGACCGGACACTCGGGCATTCAGGGGGCTGGGATGTGGGAAGCATGGGGAACTGAGCCTGGGTCGAGGGGCAGGGCCACCTCTCCTCCCTGAGCACCAGCCGCTCACCACTGGGTCTTCAGCTCAGAAGTCCCATCCCTCCCTGAGCGGCCTACTTCCTGTTCCTCTCTTTGCTCCTGACTCAGTAATGTCCCCTTGGCGAAGCCTTTCCTGGAGCCCCAGAGCCAGCTGTTCCCTCCGTGGCCTGCTTTATCTTTCCTTATTCAAACACAGATCGGAAGATGAGGGCACGTGGTACACACACTTGCTTCCCACTGGACCACGAGGGCAGGGATCCTGTCGTCTTTGGATTCCCAGCTCCACAAGAGTCCACCAGTCCACAGCTCCCCAGGCTGTGCTGTCTAGTACCTGTCTCCAGGGCCCCGTACAAAAAGATCAGGGCTGTGGAACTTGGTCCCGGCACATGACTGACTCTTGCCCCCTGGATGCCTTTGCCATGGCCAGCTTGGCACCCAGCTGCTCACGGAGACTCAGAGCTCCTGTCCCCAGGGCTGATTGGCAGGAGACAAGGCTAGGGACACTTTGGCCATGCCCCTGTGCTCGGTGAGGCCACAGTCAGGCCCTGAGGTCTGCACTCTGATGTAGAATATGGACTGAGGCTTGCTGGGTTCCTCTCTAAGTATCACAGGGCAGGCCTGGGTTCTCGGGCCACCAGGAAGCCCTGGACCAGCATACCCTCTTCCCTGAGCAGCTGACTGCAGAAGGGGCCCTGAGTCAGAGCTTTGGGCTAGATACAGCCTGGGATCTCAGCACTGATCCCCAAGGTGGAAGCCCAAACACCTGAACCCCACCAAAAAGTAGGGTCCCTCAGAACAGTCTCTGCCACCAAGGCACCTCCAAGAGCTTTCAGAACAATGCAAACTGCTCTACCTCCTGTCTTCCCTCCTCCTGGCCTCTGCCTGGCCTGTTCCTTCCCCCTAGAAGGTCCTTCTCTCCCTGCCTGCTTGCTGAAATCCCTCCCGCTTCTGAAGTCTGGACCTCATACCACCTCCTCCTTGAAGCAGCCCCAGCCTTCTCCCAAATACTGCTGCCCCTCCTTCCCTTGGGCTTCTTATCCTCTGATGTCTCACTCATCCCCTTGGCCTCATAGGGGGCTAAAACCACCATGCTTGCTCACCTCTCCATCCTCAGAGATGCAGGTAACCCTGGAGGGTCCCTAATACCCAGCCCTGGGCCTCAACCCACCCCTCCAGGGGCTTCTCTCAACCCCAGGGCTCAGCCCTGCTGCTGCGGCACCCCAAGGACCTCGGCCTAGCAGGAGTCTGCCTGTCCCTGAGTGTCCCCTCTAGGGGCAGCCACAAAAGCAGCCCACAGCCCACTTCATGGGGTCCTCGGGGGTTCCCCGTGCGTTAGCATCTGGTGGCTCCATCTGAGGGTGGGAGAAGCAAGGGCAGTGGGGGGAGGGACAGGCCTCTGTGTACACTGCCAGGTCACCATTATGAGGACCCAGGTCCAAAGCGACCAGTCTCAACTCTGCAGTGATCTGAGCTCCCCAGGCTGTGCTGGCAGAGAGTGAAGTCTTAGGAAGCCCCTGCCCCTAACAACGCATGCTCCCAGCTCAAGTGTCACCACACTGGCATGGCCTCAGATCACGGGATGTAGGGTGCCAAGACCTCAATGAAGGGTGGTTCCCTTCTCTGGCCAGAAGACAAGACTGAGGCAGAGGGAGGAAGCAGACTCAGTCTTAGGCATGAGGAAAAATAAAAAGAAAGCTAAAGAATAACAACTAGAGGAAGAATGTAGCGGCTTGCAAAGGTTGGGGAAGGGAAACCCGCTGCCACAGCTCAGCATGCCAGGGAACCAGGGAACACAGGACCCCACCTGTGGCCTGCCCCCAACCCCCTGCAGGGTGTGGGGAATGTACCCACGTGAGTGCAGGCCTGCCTGGGCTCCCTCACGGGTCAGGACTGGTACACGTGGTGCACTGATGCTAGCATTCTGCATGGTGACTTCACACTGGCTTCAGGGCCACCTCAGGGCCAACAACAGGGGCTTGGTGTGACAGTCTTCGCCACCAGATGGCCCCCCACACTAGCCCTAGCTTTCTCACCCCACCATTTACATGTTATCTGTCCTCTATCATTTCAGGGCTTTGCCAAAGGTCCCAAATCCCTCCCTCCTACCTCACAGATCTTCTCTAGAGATGGAACGAAGAAGTCATCGCACACTATGGCCAAGGCGTAGAACATGTAGAGAGCCTTTGAAGGAATTGAGACAGATGGGGTCAGTCTGGGTCCTGTCTCTGAGGGGACATGTCACCCAAGCCAGGCTGCTTGGACAAATGCCAGGAGACAGGAAAGCCTCCAACCACGGAGATCTGCTCACTATTTCCACAATGACAGATGGGGAAGCTGAGGCCCAGAAAGCAGAAGCAGCACTCTGAGCAGAGTAGGAATAACAACACAGGCCATGTGGCTTGTGAGCCTTCCGCTCGGTGGTGCTGAGACCAAGTAAGAAATATAACTTGGGTCTCCACTCCGATCCCTGGCACACCGCTTCCACAGCCCTTGGACCTCAGGGGTGGTGAGACACTCTTTCGTATGCTGATGAGATGGTAGGTAGCCGGGGCCCCTACAGAGCTTCGGGGTGACCCTGGTCACTGAAAGGCCAAGACAGAATTAGAGGGTTGGGGCTTCCAGCCCCACTGTCAGGGGAGTAGACAGAGGCTGAAGGCTGAGCTGGTTAGCAGTAGCCAAGGATGGCTCGGTCCTGCTTATGTAATGGAGCCTCCATAAACCCCCCAGAGGACAGGTTTAGAAAAGCTCTAGGCAGTTGGCTCACAGAGGTCCCTGGAAGGTGGCAGCCCCAGGGGGGCATGGAGATTCCACTCTTTTCCGCCACCTCACCCTGTGCATCTCTTCCTCCTGGCCAGGCCTCTGTACCCTGTATAACATCCTATGTAACAAAGGAGAAATAAGTACATGTCCCTTGAGCTCTGTGAGCTACTTTAGGACTGAAGAGGGGGACGTGAGGACCCCATGTGCAGACAGTTAATCAGTGTGGCCCCCTGGCACAGTGTCTGATATCTCCAGCGAAGGCAGGCTTGGGATTGAGCCTGTGGCCTTCTGGGCCTGGCAATGCCTCCAGGGAGATGGTGTCTGCACTGAACTGAATCCTGGGGCACCCAGTTGGTGTCTGCCTAAAAGCATCCTGGGTGTGGGAAACCCTACATACCGGTGACCAGAACACGCCAGTGGGAGACACACTTTATCCTCCCTGGCCGTTCTTAGAGAGACAGCTCTCTTATCTAGCACCAGAATCTATCCTTGAAAGGCCAGAGAGAAAGAATCTTCTAGAATCACCACTTCATGGGTCTAAAATGCTAGGCATCTTGCTGGCCCACTTCATTTGTCATGAGGAGTTTCCTTCTTCTCACTTATCTTCCTCACCCTGCTGGAGTGAGTGGCTGCTCTGTCCAGAGGGCCCAGAGCCCATGTGAAGACGCAGGTCATTCACACCGGGAGAGGTGTGCACACAGCTTCCTGGGCCTATGCCTTTCACTAACTCTCAGTTTCTTTATCTGTTTAATGGTGAAGTAAGAGCAGATGGGTACTTTTAAAGTGGTTTTCTAGCTAGAATCTCTGCCTGTTCTGTCCATTTCTCCATAGACACCCAGCTCTTCCTTTGTGCAGGCACTATCGTAGGCAGCAGGGTGACAGTGGTGAGGATGCCAGGAAAAGCCTGTCTCTTGTGACTTAACTTAGTGAAGGACAAACACCAACTGGTAATGATGAATCTGTAACAATCCAGAGACAGCAAAGGCCCTGAGGCAAGTGTGTGCCTGCTGCTGTGGAGGAACAGTAAGAGTGGGGAGGTAGAGAGTGGATAATGTGAGGCTGGGGGAGGGGCCAAGCTAGGCTAACAGGAAGGAGATGGGTTTTACTGTGAAGAAAGGTGTTCATGGCCTGTTGGCAAAAAAAAAAATGACCAGGCCAAAACACTGCTTCTCAACAACTTCATGATGATGAGCTGAGATGGAGTATAGCAGAAGATGCACTAACTATGGCCACGGCACCTGAGGCAGGTGTTTCCTAGGGTCCGAGTGTGACTGTGCCTGGATTTGACTCCTTATCTTTTGGGCTGCAGCAAAAACAAAACCAAGACTGAGGCTGAGAGTAAGGGGAATGAGGGACAGAGAGAGAGAGCCTGACCTCAGTCTTGTGAGGCTGACTGGAATTCACACCCACAGCAACACCACTTCTCAGGCAAAGTATGAAAAGCTTTGTGGGGCTGCAGACAAAATGGCTGCCTGGCTGAAGCCTTTCTGCTAGCCAATGAGGAAAAGTTTCTTTGTGAAGGGCCAGGGTGGAAAACTGCACTTTCTGGGCCAGTCTTTGTTGTGACTGCTTTGCTCAGGTGGATCTGAGGATCCCTAATATGGGTGTGGCTGTGTTTTAATAAAACTTTATTTATAAAGCCAGGAAGTAGGCTGGATTTAGCCCTTCAGCTATATTTGGTAACCCCTGCTCTAAAGAGTGTCTATAACATCACTGAGATAGAAAATAAGAAAAATTTTGTCACAGTCAAACCAGGACTTTCAGAAGTCAAAGTCCAAGGACTTTGGGAGCAGTTGGTTAAATTCATGCTCCTTTAGTGAAAAGTGAAGGAGTATAAAGCCAAATACTCTGGAAACATAACTTCATTGCAGAAAAAAAAAATACAAAGGCCTATTGTTAAAAACATACATCATTCTAAATTCTCATTTTCACTGGTGGCTTGTTCTGTTAATTAAAAATTCATTCATTCTTTATTCTCTGATTGTTGCTCTCTGTATGAAAATTCCATATTCCATTTTCTTAATTATCTCTTTAAAAATACTAATATTTGGTTGGGTATAAATATATAAGCAGACAGCTCTAGATGGTTGGCAAGTGTGCTGTGGCTGATTTGAAGCAGAAAAGTCAACCTGGATCAATGTTTCCCCACACCATTCAGTAGAGTCCAATAATAGTTCCTATAAAGGACTAGAAAGTAAGTACTTTTGGCTTTGTACATCATGTTGCCCCTGATAAAACTGTCCTGCTCTGCCACTGAAGCTCAAAGGCCATTATGGCTAGCACAGCCATGACTGGGAAGAGACTATGTTCCAATAAAACTTTATTTATAAAAACAGGGTGTTAGATCTGGGTGGGGCTAGAGTTTGTCTACACTGACCCAGGCAGGAGACCTGTAATTTAAGTTCAACTCAAATTCCTTTTTGAGCGGTTACTTGAACTCTTCCACGTGTCATCAGGGTCTGACTATGAGGGGAAGTTTTAGAAGGGTATAAAAGATTTTAAGTACAGTTACACTGACATGGTATACTTTAGAGGTGGTTGTGGGAATCGTGGTGATCCACATACATGGAGGACTCACGTGCCAGCTGGTGTCTAACATACTTGGACACATGCCCACCCAGGCTTACACACAGGGAATAGGTGGTGACATCCCTGTCTAATGAAAACAGAAAATGGGGCATGGGAAAGAGCCCCATTCTGCGTGAGCTCTGGGGCCACCAGCTGTGTGTGTGACCTGGGCAGGTCACTAAGCACATTTAAAACATGGACAAAGTGGACCTTTCAGTATCTGCTCTCCTCTTAGAGCTGCCAAAAGGCCAAACAGGTCTGGGATGTGCATGGCTCTGCCACACTGTGTAGACAGTCTTCCCCACCCAGAGCTTAACGAGGTCACAGCCCAGGAACACCTACACCGAGGATATGCAGCAGGACAGCTCCATGTTGCCGCTCCTTATTGGAGAAGAGGTCCGCGGGGAACTCATGAATCGCTGGAAGAGAAGAAAAGATAGCAGAGTGTTAGGCGCCAAGGTCCTGGGACAAACTTCATGTGAGCCTGCAGAGACCACTGAGAAACGACAGAGCCCATCCGGCTTAACAGAGCAGTGGGAGGGGCAGCTGTTTCTCAGTCAGGGGAACCAGTGCTCTTGGGTAAAGCTTCCAGATATGGCAAGTCCCTGACTCACAAATGAGTCCTGCCTCAGGGGAATGTTCCTAAATCAGATTAATTCCTGAGTCCAGCAAAGTCAGTATTATACACCTTTGACACAAATATACAATATAAGCATAGAAAAACCAAAAATATACACAAATCTGTAAATAAGCTCTTTACTTTTAAGCACAGTAAGCACACATAGTTCAACTGTGACAGTGTCCAGCAGACACGTGAGCTACTTCTGCGACTTATTTGCATCTACAAATGTTGGTAATTTGAAGCCCTTTAGTATCTGTGAATGCTTGCAGCACAAATGCTTGCACTCTGGGGACTCTCTGGTGTGTGTACAGATAGTCCAGTACCTTAGCATCAATTAAGTTTTAGGTAAGTTCTGTCCTTGGTAAATACAGTCGAACTTAGGAATGAGCTCTGCTCCTGGAGAATGTGTGTGAATTGGATATGTTCATAATGCAGGCACTTGAGTCTTCTACAGCGCACCCATGAGAGTTTGCATCTCAAATGTTTCTAAGTGGGGGACTTACTGTAAAACATTTTGCATGCACCAGGATGGCTACAGCCCCAAAGACAGACAATAACAAGTGTTGATAAAGACGTGGGGACAAGGAAAGCCTCATCCATTGGTGGTGGGAAATCGAAATGTGACAGCTTGGGGCTTACCACAGAACCCAGCAAATCCACTTCTGAACATGATCCCGGGTAACTGAAAACACACGTCCACACAAAGTCTGCTCACAAAAGCTCACAGCTATATTGTTCATAGTAGCCAGAAGGCGGAAACAAGCCAAATCAAATATGTAGGATTTGAGACCCAACTCTCCAGCTCCTAGCAGCTCTGAGCAACTTGTCTGCCCCAGAGTGCTTCTGGGTAATGGAAAGCTTAATCTTCCCCACCTGCCCTAGCTCCTGAGATGAATGGGGAGAAGCCACTTCCATGAACAAATTCCATTTCTACAGTCCCCAGTAAGATATTCCCGAACCTGTACTGCTCCATATCATACAGAAATACTGGATGCTTCTGGAAGACAGTGATTCATCCCACCCGGTTCACCACTGCCTCCTCAGTACCCAGATGAGGCCTGGCACAGAGTAGGTTCTCAATAAACCTTAATCAGTTGAATAGCCAATGGTAAAATACTAACAAAAATAACAACCTAGGTCATCTCATCCTATTAGAATGCTCTTACCCTTGTCAAACATCTCATGCCTGGAATGCCACCAGGTTTATGGTAGGAAACTGAGAAAGCCCTGTTAAATAATGTCCAGGCAGGAATTCCTTATCTGGAAAGAGAATTTGATGCTAAACCCTGAAACCAAAGGTGTCCCTATTCTATGGCATTTTTTTTTTTAACATCAGAGTTATGCAAGAACAGAAAGCAGCAGTTCCTCAGGCGCCCAGAAAGGTTCATACTTTGTAACATGCATTTCATGAGGCCAGGTGTGGTGGCACATGCCTGTGATCATGGCACTTGGGAAGCTGAGGCAGGATGGTTGTCATAGGCCAGCCTGGGCTATAAAATAGGTTCAAGGCAAGCCTGGACTATGTGGCAAGACCCTGCCTCAAAAAACAAAAACAAAAACAAAAACAAATCCAAGGGCCATGAAGGTAGCTCAGTGGTCTAAGGGCCTGCCTAGACAAACACAAAGCTCCAGATTCAATCCCCAGCACCACATGCCATGCAGAACCTGCCCCGGGAGCACTGAGCTGGCCACCAAGACCAGGTGTGGTGGCACACACCTGTAATCCCAGCACTGGGGCGGCCATAAACAGGAGGATCACTACAAATCTGAGCTGCATAGTGAGATCCTGTACCAAATACGTAAAATTAAACAAGAAAAAGAAAAAACAATTGTTGAAAAATAGATTCTTTCACTTTTCTTTTTTTAAATCCAACTTCTGTAACAGAATCTCTGCTATCAGTCCAAGGGCATGCTTTGTTTCAAGGTTTGTCTGCACATAAGGAATTATAAAAGCAAACCTAGCGTTCCTCTTGCCAGGGTCTTGTTTCCAGAGAAATGTGCATCTGGGATGTTTCAGTGCAGATCAATAGACATTTCTGCCATGAGAATTCGAGACATTTCCTGATCTCCAAGCCAGTGCTGTGAGAGCTGGTGATTCATCCAATCCTACAGATTCTTTAGAGTAAGAATCAAGCCGCGCTGCCTCTCTACCTCTGAGGCTATATCTGTCACCTAGCCTTCCACAGGCCGAGGATGTGGGTTATAAATGGCTTTGCCCTTCACAGCGATGGACTTCTCTGTCAGCCCTGTTGCCTTGCTCTGTACCTCGGAGTGCATGCCGGTGACCACAGAGGACAGCAAACACCATCCATGATGGCATGGCCATCCTCACTATGGGTGGCATGACCTGGCATGGACATCAAAGCCTGCAGCAGGCAGAGGGCCACTCAGCCTCCTCAGCTGTGCTGATTTTACCAGAGAGGACTGCGGGTGACCTGCAGAGCTCCTGGCTGCTTCCCGCCTATGCTCACCCAAACTCCTAGCACATTCTGAATCCATGAGGCGGGAGCTGTGGCCACACAGGCCTCTGCTTCCAGGGGGTGCTGGGCATACGAACCAGAAATCCTGCTGCACCGTGGCTCACAGTCCTGGCTCAACTACTGGCAAGCTTGTCAGCTGACTCACTTCACCTCTCTGGCTCTCAGCCTCTGCAGCAGCAATAGCTGGAAAAATGTAGTGTGAGGGCCGATAAGACAGCTCAGCAGACTAAGCGCCTGCTTAGGCAAGTGCAGGGACCAGAGTTTAATCCCCCATACCACATGCCCCCCGGCCCTGACCCTGGGCATGCTGAGCCAGCCACGGAGACTGGGCGTGGTGGTTCACACCTGTAATCCCAGCACTGGGGAGGCTGAAAACAGAAGGCTCGCCATGAGTCTGAGCTGTGTAGTGAGACCCTGTACAAAATACATTTTTAAAAAAATGCAGTGTAATGACATGGCCATCCTCACTGTGGGTGGCATGACTTGGCATGGACATCAAAGCCTGCAGTAGGCAGAGGGCCACTTGGCCTCCTCAGTTGTGGGCTGGTACTGAGACCAGTCCACTCACCTTTTTAAGACAAAATCCTCCACAGAGTGCAAGGTTTGTTGGGGGATCCTGTCCCTCTACACTTGCCACCAACAGCAGCAACTTGAAAGTGTAGACAGGTCACATGTCCAGCATAGAAGCAGACAACTGAGGCTTCAAGGGGTGCCTCTGTCTCTTCAACCTCTGTGACCTGGGCATGTTGCTAACAGCTCTGGGACGTTCCCTCACCTAGGAGTGGAGATCACAGTGAGTCCTGGTGCTGTAAGGATTCAGTAAGGTAAGTCGGAGAACTGTCAATTTGTACAAGCATCCTGGCTCCACGGCTCCGCAGGATGGAGGATATGATGTATGAAGGCAGGAGAGAAAACAAAAGTGGCTTCGAGGGGAAAAGAAAGAGAGACACAGAGAACAAGAGAGAGCAATAGGCTGCCCAGGCCACAAGTGGGAGCAGTGTCATTGCCTGTCCCCAAAGAGACCTCTGCTCTCCTCCCACTGCCTGCTCTGATCAGAAGCTCTAGGCTGTCTCAAGGGCGTGATGCTCACATCTCTGCTGCCCAAATCCCTACCAGGGAGGAGGGAAGGATCAACCAGGCACACACATGGCTTTCGAGGTCATGCTTAAGCTTTTAAGCTGCAGAAATCCAGGGCTGGGGTGTAGGGAAGGGACAGATTTGTCTGCAGGGAGAGCTGAGATTAGGAAAGCAGGGATGATCCCAGAACCCCACAGATTTGGGGGGAGCAGGGAAAGGGGATGGAGGTGGGCCAGAGGAAGGAACCTACCCTCTGAGGTTCTTGCCTTTGGACCCTGATACCCAGAGGGACCTCTCCACCGCTGTCAGTCCTCTACATGCCCAGCTGTCCTTACACGCAGTATGCCTCCCTCCCATAGGATGCTCCGGACCATGTGCAGGGCTTTGGGGGTGCTGAGTGTAGGTCTTTTCTCCCAGCTGCTCTCCTGAGGAGGAGAAGCCTTAAGGGCCCTGGAGTCAAAGCATCTCTAATCCCCTCACATGCTAAGAATGTCAGAGTCCTGAAGGCACACTTGAGCTTTTTTGTGTATATGTGTGGCAGTGGTACTGAACCCAGGACCTCCATGTTGAGCCTTCTACCCAACCCTTTTTTGGCAGAACTGGGGATTGAACTCAGGCCCTTGCACTTGCCAGGTGAGCGCTTATTCTACTGAGCTATCTCCCCACCCCCTTTTTATTTTGAGACAGAGTCTCATTAAGTTGCTCAGGCTGCACTCAAACTTGCACTCCTCTTGCCCTGGCTTCTCAGAATGCTGGACTCACAGGCATATGACATCAGGGCCAGTGATATTTAAAGGATTGTTTACATACCAAAAGGCACAAAACAGTCCCAGGCTCGAGTGCTGACCACTGAAACCAGACTTGACGGTGCATGTCTCTAATCCCAGCGTTGGGGAAGCTGAGACAGGAGGGTCACTATGAGTCCCAGCTGCATAGTGAGACCCTGTATCACATAAATAAATAAATAAATAAATAAATATTTTTTAAAGGCACATAGATGATATTCTGAATTAATGTTGTCCCTTAGAGGCCTTATAGTTTTGCCTATATTGTTGCTGGTTCTCAATATGAATGAATTTATTCAATTGGTATATACTTTACAGATTCTGAGCTTTCCGGGAGCCATCAAACGAGATTCTGTGTACCCTTGGCATCTTGGGCAGGGCAGTTTCATCTCAGAGGGTGACCTAACTTCCGCAGCATATCACAGGTGTTCAGAAAGCAGCAGGCTGTGCTTTGG